TTCCAGAAATGCGATTTGTGATGAAAGAAGAAATGTGTTTACAGTGGAACCCATCACCGATAATTTATCGCGTGAAACATCCTATCGCTGATCTATGACCTACATTAATCTATGTCGTTCATCATTACTACAACGCTATTTTAGTCGTAGTGTTTAATCGAGTGGTGTTTACAACACAGATGGTAATTACATCGCCCGGTAATTAATATTTTTTTTTAACAATTATAATTATTAATCAAATAAAGCAATCCTTACATTTTGCAAAATTGAGTAGTATTTTATCATATACACTCAACAGCAAAATTAAAGCATCACTTATCCTGCTCCCAAAAATTAAGCAAATTTCAAAAGAGTGTAACTTCGTCAAAAATGATCGTAAAAAAATTTGTAAGAAAACATTCTAAAACTTGAAATCTCTACTTTCGAAAATGGTAATTGATATTTCGATTTGATTAATTCTTTATGAAATTATGCTGACACAAATGAAAGTGCGTCAAATCTCAAAAATTTTTACTAACTTGACGTTCCATGACGTGAATTAAAAATCGCATAAAAATTCGGTTTACAGCATTTGAAAGCGTAAACCTTTACCTTTAATTTTCTTTTTTATTGAACTCTGTACGATTTTTTTTTTTCTCTAAATAAATCAACATTAAAGCAAAAAGGACCACTTTTACTTCAAAATGCTGAATAACTCGGTGGAAAAAATCGTACAGAACTCAACAAAAAAATAAATTAAAGGTAAAGATTTACGCTTTCGAATGCTGTAAATCACATTTGTGCATAATTTTTAGTTTGCGTCGCGGAATTTCTCAAATATCGTAAAAAATTTTGAAGTTTGACGCATCTTCACTTGTTTATGTAATAACATAAATTTCACGAAATATCAGTAATACTGTTTTTTAAAATACCGGTATGAAAATTAAAGATTTTAAGCTTAAAAATGGATTTTTTAACATCTCGATACGATGATTCTTGACGGAGTTATTTTATCTTGAAGTTTGTGTGTGCCTGCAGTTTTTTAACAGAATTAGAGTAATTTAATATCAGGAAAAAGGATCATTTTTATTTCAACGTTGAATAACTCGGTGAAAAAGAAATCGTACAAAGCTCAACAAAAAAAAAATTAAAGATAAAGGTTCACGCTTTTGAATGTTGTAGACCGAATTTTTATACGACTTTTAATTCACGCCATGGAACTTCTCAAAGTTAGTAAAAATTTTTCAAATTTGACGCACTCCCATTTGTGTCCGCATAACTTCGCAAAGAATTAATCAAATCAAAATATCAATTATCATTTTTGAAAGTAGAGATTTCAAGCTTTAGAATGCTTTTTTACCATTTTTTAACGATTATTTTTGACGAAGTTACACTTTTTTTAAATTTGCCTATTTTTGGGGAGCAAGATAAGTGATGCTTTAATTTTTTGTTGTTGAATATATTATTTTTTTTTTTAAATCCCCTTTGCTTTTTTCGTCTTTTTCATCGGTGCAACTAAAACATTGAAAGCAAGTAGCGGAATCTCGGAAAAGCTTTAAGAAATTTTGTCTCATTCTCTCAGATTTGGCACACTCAAATTAACCCGAAATAACAAAGTCGACCTTGATCCTTCGCGATCGTGAGACGAGGATGAAAGACTAGTAGTGAACAGCCAAATGCTCCATTTCGCGTTTCCATTCTATTCCTATCCACGCGATTCAACGCTTTCACGGGCGGTTTGAGTCATTCGTATATGATACACGGATGAAATTTCAGAAAAAGCGACATCGACGATAAGGAGGATGACGTAGCCCACCCACCTGTCGATGACGGCTAGCTATATAGTATCTATTTTCGGGATGCGCTCCGCACGTATAACTTTGCGTTGATGCACGCCATATATTCGCACGAATTTGGCTCGCAAATTCACTCGCATGTACACGGATTTAAAATTCCTATACCAACAAGCCGACACGTAACAATCGAGATCGTAAATATAAATTGTTTATGATTATAGATCTGTTTTGTATTCCTGCGTTAGAACACTCTTTTTCGCTTTTGTCAGAGATATCACAAACATATATTTCTATCTCACTTCGAGTCCGAAAAGTATACATATATTCTAGTATATAATAGTTTAGCCAGAAAACAGACCTTACATATACACATGTATTCATTTATATAAATTGTGTATTATAATATTATATGTAAATATAAAATAATAAAATTAATTAATTAATAAACTGTCAATTACATCAAAATTTAAAACAATCAAACGATAATTTAGTAACTTGATGAAACTATAATTAGAATTATTTTACTTTATAAAATTATAATAAACGAAAAACCGCAAATATTTAATCGTCAATTCTAATATTTATCACGTTGACATACTATTCAACAATGTAATAGGATGAATAGAATGTAAAATGTTAAACGTAATATTGTAGTACCTTGTTAAATTTGACAACTTAATTTTTTACTAAGAAATCATTTCTTTTTCATATTGTTTAATATTTTGATAACCCTTTGACATGGAATTTTAGGAAAATCTCAAATATATTGATGGAAGAATTAATTAAATATTAATTTCCAATCTATCTATAAAAACATTATCGAGCATGGTACAAGAAATTATTATCAAACTCGAAAATGCAAATATTCTATAAATCATCTTTCTTGCGTCTTCATTATTAACTATCATTTCATGAAAAAGAGTGATTGATAATATAGCTGTCATTAAAAAGATCAATATATAATCTCTCTTTGTTCGAGCGATTATGACAATTCGAAGGCCAAATGAGGGCAATACAAAGCAGAAGAGAGGATTGCAGATATCATTGTCTTAAATAAAATTGCTGCTGCGTCGAGTAATATTTCTCTTTTATCGCAGGAAATGCATTATTGTGCGGCAGTGCAGTAATGCGTTTCAGCGTAATCGAAACGTAAAAATTGCGCACATAAATTGCGATTTTTTTGAAGATACCCTAGCGGGAACGATGCGTGATCCACGAGCATCCTCCGCTGTGGCGTCTTTATTGCGAAGCCGTTTCCGAACCGTCACCGAGCGAGGAAGACGCCGTAGTTTTCGATCGAATGACAAGTGCGGGACTTCCTACGATCGCGACATGACTTTTGGGTGATGTTTATGACCGCGTCGAGCGCTAAAAATACCATGCGTTCAGCGCATCTTTTTCCGACTGCAATATAAGTAGTATACCGGAAATGTTATATTTTAGCATGCGAGTTTTTAGGATTTTCGCGATGCAGTTTTCTTTTTTTCTCAGCGGTTTTGCTGGTCCTTTAAAACATCCGTTCAATCGTAAATCAAGGATCAGCGAATAAGAAGACTCGAACTGCAGACGTACGTCTCACCCCTTGGAGAATTGCTCGTAAAACTATTCCGAAAATTAAATGCCACTCGAACTGACGTTTCGCTTTCATTTAATGGCGTCTTGCAATTCCGGAACATCTGTTTCAACATGCACTTGCATATGAGATAATATGAAGACGCTTGCCAACTAGCAATGCGGAATTATACATATATACCGATACGCAAATCACAAAACTATGATATACACGATACTCTGTTGCGCAGATGTTTTATCTATACATATATATATTTCTTTAGGCTACAAGCATTAATGATATCGTCGTGCACGCTGACTGATTATTAATAATTGATTATTAATAAAAATAATTTTCTGAAAAAGTTATCTCTAAATAGAAAAATAAAATAATTTAGAGGCATCCTAATTATAACTGTTAAAAAAGATATTTTCAAGAAGTAAATATAAACAATATACACTGAAAATCCAAATGTGTAAAAACTAAAAAGTAATTACAATTTATATGTATAATTGATTTTCCGTGTAAAAATGACTTATATTATACGTTTAAATGTGTAAATTAATTTTTTATGCAGTATGTTATTTTTACGCGAAAAAAATAAAAGTTACACACATATTATTGTAGCTACTTTTTACACACTTAGATTTGCAGTGTACCAAAACCAGAAAACAAAGCAATTAAAAATAGTAATAATTAACACAAAAGCAAAATCGTTTTCATAAATTTATTCGATTAACACACACACACACACACACACACACACACACACACACACACACACGCACGCACGCACACGCACGCACGCACACGCGCACACACACACACACTTTTTTTCTGTTTTTTCTTTTTTACGACGATTAATTTACAATTTCTAATATACCTAATATATATATATATCGGACTATTTAACGACCAGTAACAAAACAATTTTCTTTCTTAACGAATTGTATGCACATCGCAATCTGATTGCGTAATCGATTCACTAATTACAATGGGCGAAGCACGAATTACAATGGACGTTCATAGAAAAACATAGAACAAATTCGAGGTATTTGTTTGCTCTTTGAAGCAGGCAATGTCCGTGGTTATTTTTAGGTGTCTTTATCGGTCGTAGACTATTTATAAAGTCTATCACTCAAAACATCACGGTGAGACGAAGCTACGACGGATCGGTCAGATGATCAGATGACCGGAAACAAAATTTCTTTGAACTTTGAACTAGCGGTTATGCTCTATCTTATTCCGGCAATAAATCGAATGAGCGATTCGTTATTCATTTAACGATTTACCTTAATTTTACGATAATCATGACGTCAATAATGTCACAAAAACAAAGTAAAGAAAGCGTAAATCATTCTGGATTTTTTGGATATTTCTTCCCACCTCCATACAGCAGAAATATTCTGAAAATATTATATATGTGGTTATTCTATAGACATTGCGATATTTTTAGACTATAATATCTCTGTGATATAATTTTTCTGCTCTACAAGATATTAATATTTTGTGAACATTTTTTTTATATACATAAAGAAAAGCGTATTATCTTTTTCTACATTTGTGATCTTATTTTATTAACTTTATATATATATATATATATATATATATATATATATATATAATATCAAAGTATAGTTTATTATATTAATTTTATGTGTAATTAAATTAAGTTTCAGAAAGATGGTTACGTCATTTTGGAAGATTTATTTCAAACGGAAGAAATCGAAGAATTGAGAGCTTGCGGAGAAGAATTTACAAATAAGTTGCCACCCGAGTCAGAACGAAAAGTATTCAATACGATACAATTACAACAGGTAATATAAATATGATCGATTGTGAATATAAAATACTTAAAAACGTAAAGCATAATATTTAGTACTATTTGGTGATTCAAACTCGACCGAAGATGATTGTATAACATTCCTATATATTTGAATATTTGAAGACTTTTATCAGAGAAAATAAATATACTATATATAACTAAATTTTATAAAACAAAATTATATTTTTGATAATTTTGAAACGTAATCTTCTGTGAATGTTATCTAATTGAAACTATAAATAATATTATAATATCACGAAAGTAATGATTATATGATCTTGTATGTTTCAGAATAAGGATAAGTATTTTTTGGATAGCGCTAATAAAATAAGTTTTTTTTTCGAGTCTGAAGCTCTGGAAGAAGACGGAAAATTGAAGGTTCATCCAAGAGTGTCGTTAAACAAAGTAAATTATTTTAAAACAAGTTGTTCCTCTAATTTAATCAATTCTCATAGACGTACTTTAAAATAATTTAAATTATTTTATGGCTTTATAATTTTCAGATAGGTCATGCTCTTCATTGGTTACACCCTACATTCAGAAAGTACACGTTTGATGAAAGAATCAAAGAAGTTGTTTTTCATTTAAGCTTTGAGGAACCGGTGGTATGTCAATCGATGTACATTTACAAAAATCCTGGAATAGGCTCGGAGGGTAATTAAATAATTATTTAGTTACACATTCTTGAGTTATATTATATATAGTATAACATGTAAAACACACATGAAGCATGTCATATAATACAAATATATTATATTAATATAAATAACTACAACATTATTGAACGCAATAATTATTTTCTTACAGTTACGATGCATCAGGACGCATCATATTTATATGTTGAGCCAATGAAACTCTTGGGTTTTTGGATTGCATTGGAAGATGCAACATTAGAGAACGGATGTCTATGGATCGCTCCGGGTTCACATCAAAGTGGAGTACATAGACGTTATATGAGAAACAAAGATTCAAATTCTCAAGAATTACTAATTTTTGACAGACCAGCGCCCTGCTATCAATTAAGTAATTTCAGACCAGTACCAGTACGCAAAGGAACTTGCATTCTTCTTCATGGTCAAGTGGTTCATTTTTCTTATCCAAATAAGAGTGAAACATCGAGACATGCTTACACTTTTCATGTGATTGAGACGAAAAATGTATCGTATTCGAAGGAAAACTGGCTTCAACCCCCTGCTGAAGGATTCGCGAGTCTTTATAAAAATTAAATATATTAATTGTGCTAAGGAATATTGTTCATTTTATATTTATTGCACAATCGTATTACATTTCACAATATTTATCGTCATTCGTTCTCTGTATAAAAAATAATATTAACTTGTATACAATTCAGAAGAAAAATAAAATAAATTTTTCATAATTTTTGTAAAGCCACAAAAAAATACCAAAAAGCATCAATGAAAAACGTTATATGTACACACACACACACACACACACGTATACACATATAAAATATTATATAATATGCACACACAAACGATACATTTTCAAGAGATTTACTTGTATTAAATATATTAATACATGACGTACACAGGTACAAAAAACATTATTTTTTTCTAAAAATTGTACACTTCTGGTATAGATGTTGTAGGCAAATAGTAATTTTAAGAGAATGACTTTTGACTAGGCAAATGTTACCTGCCTGATCAAATGGCTTTCACCGATATCAAATGTTATTTTCCTAGTTAAATACTATTTTCCTAGGCAAATAACATTTGACTGAACCGCTGTTAGGCAAATGGTATTCAGCAAAGCATGCATAATGCACTTTAGTATTTGTTTTGTAATTTTTTTGATCAACTAATATATATGTTTAAGAGCAATAATAAAGTTTACTAGCAACTGGATTGATTAGGCTCGTATATCTGGTATTTTTTTTCATTTTATCTCCATAAGTTCACATTGATAATACATCTATAGCAAGTGTTCTTAAAATTTTTTTTAGTTTTTAGTATATTTTAGTTAATTATCTTGTTATAATTCTATAATAGATTATTTATATTTTAGAAATTTTAACTTCAGGATACTTATATAGTTACATCGAATAAAGAATATTCTTACCAGAAGTTTATTAATATTAAAAATTATTAAATTGCTTGTCAATTTAATAAAGTGATAGTACTACTCCAGTTCTACACATGTGTTTAAAAACTGAAAAATATTTCGATGCGCAATATACAAAATCGGATTATATATAAATTCATACAAGAAATATTTAAGCACTAAGATCTTGCTTTGAACGAATATAGGATATTTCGTGTTTAAATGGATATACATCAGTTTGATCAAGAAGCATAATTTTGGGAATCTTATAGCGTTTTCCACTGGGAAAACTGGTGCAGCACTAGCGCCGTGCTACCCAATCAGCATACCATATTTAAAAAATACTTTTTGAATATGGTATGCTGATTGGGTAGCACGGCGCTAGTGCTGCACCAGTTTTCCCAGTGGAAAACGCTATTAATTAAAAAAGGCACACAATAAAAAAAATATTTTCGACAATTTTTCATCAAAAAATACTTTTGTGAACCGAAGTTGTTTCACACTATATTGTATTTCTGCTTTATAAAATGTATTTCCTAAAAAGCGTTCAGGCAAATGATATTTGCCTATGAAAATAGCATTTAACTGAGAAAGTAGCATTTGAAACGGGCGAAAACTATTTGACCAGGCAGATAATATTTGCCTGGTCAAAAGCTATTTTCCTAAAATTACTATTTTCCTACGACATATACAATGCAATAACTAAGAAATAATTTTCAAATTTAAAATCTAAAAGCTAAAATAATTTTCATTGATACCATCGATATCACAGCCACCGTTATAAATAAAAGATTATTTTTACAGTGATAATTTTGTTTAAATATAATTAAAAATAATAAATTACAAAATACATACAACTATATATGAGCAGCTAGAGCACAAAAATGCGAAGTTAATTCTTGTAGCTGTCTTAAACCAGTCTTTAATATTTCTTCTTTTAACTGAACACAACAATATATATCCAAAGATGTCACATCAAATATTATTCTCTCTCTTACGTCAGGTAAAAATGTATTTAAATTGTGCTCTAAGTTAAGCAATGTTTGATGTGTTATAGAATTTTCTGCTTGCATCAGTAACCTGATTACAAAAAACGGTACACATAAATATATTATACCGACGTAATATAATACAATATATACGTAATATAATACAAAATAACATGACATGAAATTACATATTATCAGTAAAAATAGATCAACACTATTAAAAAATAACTTACTTATTTAGATTTTGTGTCAGATCAATCACTTTTTTGGTAATTTCTGACTGCAAACGTTGTACGCATGCTTGTGGTAATGGTGGATTTGCAGATTCAAAGGCAAAGGAATATGCCATTCCTGCATTACTGCATGCCAAACCACTATTGTGGAATAAAAATAAAATAATTACAAAAAAAAATAATAGTATTCTCAATATATATCACAATCGTATTATTAATATATATCATCATATTATATAAGAAAAATGCCATTGAGAGCTGGCACTAAATGTATATATGTTGAAATTTTCTGTATTAATTAAGAGATAGATGTTTCAATCGTGAATACGATCTTTTTGAATAGAAATTATTAATATATATAAGAAATCTATAGTGTATAAGTAATTAATTCTATATTAATATAATATCGTTACATTCATTGTTGTAGTGTATTAGTATATAATTTGAACGCAACATATAACATTAATAAGAATACTGTTTTCTTTTTAGTAATATATATATATATATATAATATATATATATATTACGCACATACACATACACGCACATATGCAAAGAGATACTTACCATAGTTCACGCGCGAAATTATAAATGTGCTGGAAACATTGAAATACTTTTTCTGCTCTCATTTCTTGTTCTTCACCATTTTTCACGACGCCTATTTTGTCGTGCAATTTTTTCAGCTCAATATTATCGAAATATTTTCTATACTTGTTTTTGAGTTCCTAAAAATATGAATTGTTTAAACTCTGTCTTATAATAACAAAATATATTCGAACACATAAAAAATATTACGGTAATAGCATTAAATGTTTGTGTCAGGAGATCACAGTGCTTATCTGCGTTAACCATTTGTACTAAATCACTGCTCTTTTCTATAATGTGTTCCACATCTCGCAATTTTCCACCAACTAAAAAAAATATCAAGATATTTATAAAATATTAAACTCATTTACAAAATGTAATTTTAATAGATTACATGTATATAAATATACCTGGCATATGTTCAAAAGCATTGAGTAATTCCTTAAGAACAGGTTCAGCACGTCTTTGAAACGAATCGCTAATAGCGGCGATCCAGTGCTTTAAAGCACACTTTAATGCAGTTACTATAGACCACGGTGGTTTTATAATGACATATATCTTCCACTCCGTTTCTCCAAAAATTTCTGACATTTGTTTTGTAATAATCTGAAATGAAAATATTGGTTTAATATATTCGATAATAGACATAAAAACTGATTCATGATCCAATACATACCGTTGACAAAAAGTTTTTCATAATCAATTTTATATCCTCAAAAATATCATCCGTTAAACGTGATTCTTCAGCGAAAATAGATTTTTCATCAAGATTATTCAAACGGTTGACTACTGCATTATTCGTATTAAGATCATCTATTTTTTTGAGTGAATCATGACGCCCCAATGCCATTATATTATATATCATCGCTTTATTACAGAGATTTTTATCATAAGATAATAAAGTCTGCATGAATAAAATAAGAATAAATATAGTTATTCGTTTATATGTGCAAGTATATTAAATAATATGAAATATAACTTGCCACTGATTTTTGTAATTGAGAAATTTGTAAGCAACACTGAAGAATCTCGTCATCTGGACAATTAAGAGAAAAATCTTCTTTATTTTTTATTGCTTGTTCTCGTGTTTGTCCTATGAATCGTGGATGTTTAGAGGAAAACTGCTTATGGATAAAAGATATAGCTTTCCTGGCCTTTACTGATAGTTCATTAGCTTCATTATGCTTGAAGTAATCTAATTCCTGTTGTAAAAATTATACAGAAAAAAATATGTATGTTAAAATTTTTAAAGGGTGACAAAATTTTTATTATACCGTACTTATACTTACACATATCACAGTCCATGGAATTACAATAAAAGGACGTGGATAATTCTTAAATGCTGCATCTTTCGCTTCTTCAACAATTTCAAGATTTAATAAAAATACATTTGTATCGATAACGATGTAGAGTGAGTCATGCAATTCTGCGTTATTAGATTGCGTCAATTCTGCAGCATTTCCAGATATACAATTTATCTCATCCATACGATTTTCTCTACAAAGTTGTGTTCTGACAACTTCCACCTATACTAAGAAAAGTATGAAAGTACAATATTTTGGAAAATATATTTTTATAGTAACTTTTACATAAAACAAAAATAGTATTGAACAAGATAATATATAATATAATTATACTGGCAAAATATATTCATATTATAATTCATAGTATAAATTATTACGATTGTTTAATATAATGTTTCAATTATATTGATCATACCTGAAGAGTAATTTCTTCATCTTTCATTGGTTCCCAATCCATTTCTTCGTATAAAACTTCTTGCTCACCCTGTTCTATTAATTTATCCTTTGTCATGTTTTCGATCTTATTTGATCTGTTGCTTTGTTGAGTTTGTGACTTATCACTTTTTAATGTATTAATATTTCTTTCACATACTGCATCTTTTAAGACTCTGTTGTGTAATCTCTTAAGTCGTACATCAACATTTTTATAAACACTTGATCCTAAGCTGTCTGTAAATATAAAGTAATATAAAAATACACTCAACAAAATTAAAGCATCATTTGTTCCATCCTGCAAAAATAGGTAAACATCTCAATACTTAATGATTTTTAACATAGTTATTTTATTTTGAAATTTATTATTTATTTTTGCACACAGGGTGGAACAGATAATGCTTTAATTTTGTTGAGTAGTGTACTAGAAAATATAAAAAAACAAATATTTTAAAATTTTACTAAAAGAGTATAAAAAATATATATATGTGTTACAAATACTTACTGGAATTAGATAAACTTTTGTTCAACTTTGGGGACTTATTAATTAAATCAGCATTATACATTTCTCTAATTTTTTCCTTATTCAAATTTGTTCTTAATCTTTGCATACGTTCTTGCGCAATGTTTTTCTTTAAGAACGATTTTTCATTTTGTCCTAGACACAAAATTAACTTTACTTCTCTATAATGATGACATAATAATTAAATAAATAATTTATATAATTGCATTTACTTGAATTGCGATTACATGATTCCTGAACATTTTGATTCTTCTTATGCTGCTCAATAACGTGTTTATTTTGAGTAATAATTTTTTGATTTCCTATATTTTTATTTTTTATTTCACATGTTTTCGTTGACTTCTCATTTGCAGTATTCCAACTTTGTTTTTTAATCATAACATCTTTTCTTGATGATTTATTTGGACTAAATGTGTTTGAATTTCTTTGCTCGAATTTTTCCCGAATCCGTGTTTGTGATGTTTCTTTATTATAGTTTTTATTCCAAGAGGTCGCTGATCTATCATCCTTTAACTCTGAAGGAGAATTTCTTGGAAAGGGCTTTATTTTATTTTCTATTGTCTTTGTACATAAAGCTTGTGATAAAAAGGGAGATTTATTTTTAGCATTTAATCGTTGCAGAGCTTTCTCTCTAACAGCCTTCATTTGTGGAGTCTCTATAATTTTATCATGTGTATGTTGATTAGATGCTTCCTTTACTTTAGCATTATAGTTAGATGTTATTGTACTGCGACGTTCCTTTCTGTGATGCATAGTTACTGAAGGAGACTATAAAACAATTTTAAATATATTAAATTTTAGATGTAATAAATATAATAAGACAAAGACTTTTAAAGATTAGAATGAAGACATACAAAAGAGAAATTTGAAGGTACCATTTCATGAAATACTGATCAGTATAATTCGATTTGATGCTAGTTTATATCATTTAGATCATTAGCTATTTGATAGATATTCTTGTTTAATTTATAAGGTTAAACAAACACCTATTGTACAAGTAGCGTCCTAAAGTGTAAATTAAGCCAATGTCTAGGGCTTTATCCTCGAAAAATATTGCATATGAAAACTCTATAGATGTTACATAAATTATAGATTTTTATATGCAATATAAATTCAAAAATAAACTTTTTAACATTGAGAATTGAATAAGATTTTCAAATACCTGCATAGAAAGGCATTTTAATATATTTTACAGTAGAAAAATAAATTATGGAGAGAAAAATACCTTGATCTCATCCAATGGTGGTTGAACCCACGAAGATTGTTTTGTTTTCACATTGAAGTAATATACTCTGTCCGGATGACTTTTAGAATTGACAGTAATCCAATCTTTCGGTAATTTATGCTTTAACATATTGAAAAAATACGTATAAAAAATTTGGTGAGGTGATACTAATCATCCTTCAACGATCGAAAAATAAATAATCCTCTCTCTCTGATTTTCCTTCCTTCACTTCACTTCACTTTCCTTCCTATCACAAAATATATTTTGCTACTCAGTGACTATCAGTATCAGTGACCTTTAGCTGCCTTCAGCCAAAACTCAAAACAAAAGTACGTGGAGAAGCTAAATTCAGAAGCTATGTTCCACTTAATGCTCACAATGCTCATGGAATTATTTTTTGTTCTTGTCCTGCAGGCTTTCACACATAAAACTCCGTAAAGGCCGCAGCACACACTTTTGCATGACGCATAAGAGAATCAACCAATCAAAATGCTTCTCTTCCGTGAAGTGAGAGATAAAGAAGGACTCTGATTGGTTGATTTTCTTATGCGCTATGCATTATGCGTTATACAAGAGTCTGTGCTACGGCTTTAACAATGGTTGCGTTCAGCAGACTCAACTGTTGCGGAGCGTAGATACGCTGCTATTGGATGATCTAAAAGAATATATCAATAGCAGCGAGCGCTCACGGATCCGCTCCGTAAAGGTTGGATTATACTGGCCGTAATCTGTTAACTTATGCTGTAATCTGTAAAAATTGACCAATTATAATCGATTATTCCCCTCTCATTCGACTGTGATTGGTCAATTTTTACAGATTACGGCATAAGTTAACAGTTTACGGCCAGTATAAATCAATCTTAACAGTTGATACCATGAGTCTGCTGAAGATGACCAATGGTAGCCGGCAGGAAGATAAAAACTGCAGCTTGTGTCACGATCACCCTAAGGGAGGCTACGCAGAATAAAAGGAACAGAGAATAAGAATTTCAACCTATCAGAAATCATATACTGTGGAATAAACAGTGTGTATTCCATAGTACATGATTTCTGATAGGTTGAAATTCTTATTTTCTGTTCCCTGTTCCTTTTATTCTGCGCAGCCTTATTAAGCCATCACATGTACAAAAATTTTAATAGTATCGTAAGGTCTTAAGCAAATCGACCAATCACAATCAAAATTACAATCTCACATTTTAATACGCTAAACTGTGATTGGCCGATTTGCTTAAGACCTTACGATTATTGTAAACTGTATGGGCCTTCTACAATAAGTCATAAGTCATAAATCGGAAGTAAGAAACTAAAAATTGACGACTGTGATTGGTCCATTTCTAGCTTTATGATTTGTGACTTACGGCTTAAGGTTGATTTATACTGACCGTAAACTGTTAACTTATGCCATAATCTGTAAAAATTGACCAATCACAGTCGAATGAGAGGGGAATAATCGATTATAATTGGTCAATTTTTACAGATTACAGCATAAGTTAACAGATTACGGCCAGTATAATCCAACCTTTATTGTAGAAGGCCCATTAGGGTTTTGACTATGGTAGTTACGTTTTAGAACCCAAGCCCATCGATCAATTTTTTAACGCATGCGTTAAATATGCCTGGCTATTGGACGCTACAAATATTTCGAAGTATCTTGAGATTGGTCAATTAATGAAGTTCTTTCTTCGAATTGATCAATCAAGCCGCACTTCAGACTTTAAAGCCAGCGGCACACGGTGCTTGTTTTCCTGCTGGATTGCTAGCTAGATCAGATTCTTGCCATCGAATTGGCCGCGATATTGGCACTTTCAGCACCGCAGCCAATCCGATCGCAAGAATCTGATCTAGCTAGCAATCCAGCAGGAAAACAAGCACCGTGTGCCGCAAGCTTAAGATTCTACATGTAGACCAGTCTTTATATTTTCGTTCAATGAAAACGGTCGTGAATAAATGGATGCACAATTTCGCAGCAAATGACGGATGACGTGTTTTCAGTTTTCTGTCATTTTGATACGTATTAGGTTATTGAAAATACCGAGATTTAAGTGTTCGTCGTATTGCTAAACTAGATCATGACGTCCATCAGCGAAGTTGATGCGGTGCCTAAATCGAAAAAACCATCGGGTGAGCATTTCAATTACCATTAAAGAGTTAAAAAATGAAAAGTAAATAATCTTGAAATTGAACGATCGACTAGTTTTTTTTACTGATAAGTCTTCAACGACAATTTGCTCAACTATTGATTGACAATACCGAATTAATTTTGTACAAAATTATTGAAATTATTGTACAATTATATATATTTTCCCGAATTATTTAAATAACATGTTGCAAACCATTTTTAATTTAAATTAATTATTTTTGCTAAAATTAAGTAAAACTCGACTGATTTTTTGTACATGTTTGAAACCGAGAATTAGAATCAATTGCACAAAGATCAGATATCAATCGTTATGAACTAATATTTATGAAAATAGGTAGTCCTGTGCATATTATTTTATTTACAAAATACATTAGTTTTTGTTGAGACAAAATAGATGAGACAACAAACATATGTCAAACAAATTTAAATATAAAACAATATGAAACAATATGTTATAGATAACGTAAGAATGTATCTATGTAAGATCATGTTAAACATCTTTGTTCCAAACAATCTCGTTACCCTTTTAGAGAAATTACTGTAATATATAATGTCAAAGAAAACGGTCAAAGGAAGAAACAAAAAATTGTTCAATATATAACAAATGTTATTGATATTATATATTTTTTGATATATTTGTAATAGAGATATTATTTAATTTGACTGTACGCAGATAGTGCATTTAAGCAACAGCGATTACCAGCCTGGCAACCAATACTCACAGCTGGTACAGTTTTACCAACGTTCTTTGTGATAGGAGTTGCATTTATACCAGTTGGCATAGGATTGCTTTATTTTTCTGATGAAGTCAAGGAACATATTATAGATTACACTAACTGCAACTCCACTAATATAACTAGAGATGATGGATTGCCTAAGAAGTGTGCAGATGTAATTACAGAATGTAATAATTGCACGTGCACATGCGAAATAAATTTTGAGCTAACTTCAGAATTTGTTGGCAAAGTTTACATGTATTATGGCCTGACAAACTTCTATCAAAATCATCGTAGATATGTAAAATCTCGAGATGACAATCAACTATTAGGACAGTTGCTTGAAAGTGTTTCAGGTGACTGTGAACCATTTGCCCGTGATAAAGATTTAGATATGCCCATTGCTCCATGTGGTGCCATTGCAAATTCACTTTTTAGCGATGAGTTGACGCTATATTCTGCAAAACATGGTGGACAGGTACCATTATTAAAAACTGGCATAGCTTGGCCATCCGATAAAAATATCAAGTTCAGAAATCCACGAGGCGATCTGAAAGAAGCATTTAAGAACTTTGCCAAGCCTAAGAACTGGACTAAACACATTTATGATTTGGATCCCACCAATGAAGAAAACAACGGCTTTCAAAACGAGGATTTAATTGTATGGATGAGAACTGCCGCATTACCCACTTTCAGAAAACTTTATCGTAGGATTGATCATTCTCAAGATGGCTTTAAGAACGGTCTAGTTCCAGGAAACTACACTCTCAAAGTTGTTTATTGTAAGTAATCTAAGCAAATTGAATCGTAAGAATAATCTAATAATTAAAATAATAAATATATAATGCTACTTGTGTAGTAATCATAAAATGAAGAATTGAAGATTGTATATATTTTATTTAAACATAATGAGAGAAATTAGGTAATGTTTTAAATATTCTTTTCAGCATTTTCGGTATCTTCCTTCAATGGAAAGAAAAAGATGATTTTAAGCACAACTTCACTTTTGGGAGGAAAGAATCCCTTCCTTGGCATTGCTTACATTGTTGTAGGGAGTTTGTGCTTACTGCTCGGTGTAGCATTACTTATTATACATATTAAATGTTCTAAGAGGTAACTAAATATATTCATATATTATATATCCCTTTCACTTGCCCATCTACAATCTATAAAAACAACATATAAGACATCTGATTTAATAACACCCTTTATGCAGTGAAGGAACATCTACACAAATTACTGAACATGGTCAAAAAAAACTAACAATAAGATATATGTTAATATTCTTCAATGTTCACAGTGTATTTAAATTTTCGTGCAATATTAAACATGCACAATTTAACATGTTTTAATTCAATATAATCACTTGTGATTTACATAGTAAACTATCTCTCAAGTTAGATCAACACAGAGACACATACTTCATTTTTTTCATAACATGAGTTGATAATATAATATTTGATATATGTTATACAGCAAACTAATGTAAAGACGACTACAAGAAATTATTCTTAGGGCACCCATGTATGTCTTGTAAGTGTTTGTGATATTGTGTTATGTCTAGCCTTAATAATTGACATGTAAAGGTTGTCTTGATAAAATATGATCAATCGAGCAATGTTTCTTGTTATAATTTCGTACAGAGTACTAAGAAATTTGTAAATATTTGTTTAATATTTTACTGTAAAAAAAATTAATTATTAGCTCGACTAGTCATATTTCGTGTATTGTATGCTTTGCCAGAATGTGTGTGCATTTTTTGCTATATTTTTCAGAAAAATTGGGTATTTGTTTTTAAAATACTACTAAAATGCGTTTTTTTTTCATATTAAATGGCAGATAGGAATAATTTTAATTGAAAAACAACACTATATTGTTTTATTATTTATATAAAGTGTAATATAATTATATAAATAATGAGCAATAATAGAACAAAGTAATTCCATGTATTATAATTGTTTAATAGTAATGATACATATGTGAAATTGAGAAGTTGCAATGAACTTGTCTTAGTAATTTTATTATGTACTTGTTTTGTGTTTTTTCGTCTAAAATACATTTAGTTGTACGCACATTTTTTAAATCGAATTCAGAAGTACATGCACTTGTTTGTGTTTTTGTGTATTAGCACAAAATTAAACAAGAAATACTTTCAATATCCTCAAAAAAACCGACAAAATTATTACAAAAATTCTTTGTCTGTAAAAAACGCGAACTAAATTCGATTCAAATTTAATATATATGCATATTATAAAATATAAAAAGCATGTCGCATGTCCTGAAAAAAAGCATTTGTTTAAACTCTAATGCGTATATTTCTAATTTACACGTATCATTACATTTCGAAGCATTTTGATTTCCCTTGTGCTTTTATATTATTGTTGGGTTTTATTTTATTAGCAAACCAAAATATTGTGTACAAATTTTCTTTCGCAGTCATCACATACAAATATCTTTTTTTAGCACCGCCGATATGATCAATGTGACTCCAACTACGGAATATCATCATTAGGGACAATTCGTTTACTTGAAATGAACGTGATTTCATCAGTATGTATAAGTTATTGATTATCGTAGGACAACTGAACTGTTGTATATTTATAATATTAAATTTTGTTTGTCATAAACGGATAAAACAACAAACCAATCAAAAATTTCTTATTTAAGAAATAGTTATCTTTTATAAGTTTTTAAACAAGTTTTAGTATTGTTATATATACATATATAACATACGTATAATAGAATTTTCAAAACTGAATCATATATTCTTATAAATTATATCTTATTTGGAATTCGGTAAATTTTAAGTAGAATAATTATTTGAAGCTTAATTGACAAATATCTATTGCTGTTAATATTTAAGTAATTTAGTTATAAATATTATTTATAGAATATTATATATCAGCAAAGTGAACGAAAGTATTATGCAAATGATTATACATTGCTGAAACCAAATGTTTATTAAAATGTTATTCCATTTATAGATAGTTAATTTTTTGTAATATATTCTTTTGGATTAATAGCGTTTTTTCTTGGCTACACCAGTGCAACACTCAGACAGTAAGTCTGTTCTTTATTGCTGAACTTTTGCACTAGTTCATCTTTCTTCCTTTTCTCTCCAGGAGAAGGGAAAAGAAAAAAAGGTAAACTGGTGCAATCACCCTACACTGGTGCAGCCAAGAGAAAACGCTATAAGAAATGTGCTATGATGCATTTGTTGATGCACTTATATTTATGTTCATGTGGAGCTAAACTTTTTATTTTAAGTCTTAAAATTGTAATACAAAGATGTAGAATTTAAATGTAAGTTAAGCACACATTTTCTCATAGAGAGAAAGAGAGATTTCATATGATACAACAGTCGCAAAGTTACCTGCTTTTTTGTGGAGTTTTATTCGCTTAACTCTGACGTGCCGATGCAAAAATAGTTTTAACGTGATTTGTTCGATATTATTGAGAAAAATAAATATCTTCCAAACGAGCAAAACCTTTTTCAAACTGTTGTATTTTATGAAGAAAACCATTACTAGTATTGTTACTTGAAAATTAATTAATATTTATTATATAAATTATATTTATAGGTTCTACAAACTTGTGTCTATTGCGAACTTGTAATTTCTAGATGTCTTTAAAATATGAGATATATGTATAACAAGTAGAATATTTTTTTGGAAATTAATTGCGTTAAAATAATAATTTGTATACATACATATAATATGTATATATGTTATATACGTTTTCATTAATGTTTCTTTTACAAAAGTTTATTTATTAAAATGGTTGATTGAAAATTGATCAGCCAATAATGTCTTATATGCAATGATTCAAAAGTATTTAAATTTCGATTTCTCCAAATAAAATAACAGCGTTTGAATATAAATTCTGAGCCATTATGTGATTTACATAAATATTCATTAATTTGGATCTCTGGAGAAATACTGTTGCCCTCAGAATATTTCTTCTGAGTGCAATTTTAAGTTATTATGTGCCTTAACTAGATTATAATATTGAATGACAATTGAAGGAATGTGTCGTAATTGCGATTACTTTGTAACAGCGTACATAGAATTGCTGAAATCAGATGGCAATGTAAACTACTTGTAAAATCAATCTAGTCTACTGTAAACATAATAAATAAAGAGAAGCGTTTTAAGGATCAAGAAATAATATTCTCTTCATTTATTTGTACAACAAAACATTTTTTTATTAACAAATCAGTAATAACGCTCGAATATTTACCCAACAAAATAATGTATCTTAATAACTAATTTTATATAGATAATAAATGAGCACAAGATTGAATTAAAGGTTATATTTAATATGTATATATTTAAAATATAGAAACTAAAAAGTGTTAATTTACAAAAACTTTCGACTTCTTTTGTGTCTAAGATGTAAGAAAACAGCAATTAGAAATTTACAGCTGAAGAGTTACAGCTGATCTTATATTTATGTGAATGTATTATATCTTTACTGTTTTATTAAAAAACAAGGATAGAGTAACGCAATAGCGTTGATTCCTTAAATAGTCTATGTAATTAATAGACATATCGGACAATTGTAAAAGCATCTGAATAAATTAAGGAGTCTGCCTTGCGAAACGTACGATTCAAAAGAGAAATCGCGAATGCGACGTTCGTGCGCGGGCGCGGCGAACGGAGCGGAAATATTTTCGAGCGCCATCTTGCCCCGCAATCGTACAATTCGTCAGTGCCTGTGAATGGACTTGTCATAAGTGTCTTACTTATTATTTCGCCTCCCTGTTCCCCGTCTCGCTCTCGGGAGCTCCGCGTTTCCAAATTCTCGAGTGATATCATCCGCGCGCACAAGGTAAGTGCAATGACCTTGCTGTCATCGTCGTCATCGTCACCGTCACCGTTATCATCGTTCTCGTCATCGTCATTCAGTTGAATCGGATGGACGCAACGGGGCTTCGCGGATATTTTGCGCGACGGTCGCGGACGATTGTCTACCCTTCGGGAAAACGGGAGCCTCGCCCGTCGCCTCCCCCAAGCTCGACCTCGGTCGTAACGTCGTAATGACAATACCTCATAAGATCGACGTGTCACACACTTATACGTCTACTCGCGCAACGAGGATCCCTCGGTGGGCGGGTACACGCGATAGCGCGCTCCGCCAGTCACGGCTGGAGCGGAACGGCGCGCGTCTGTCCGTTCCGCTTCCTTCGTCCGTCGTCGTCGTCGTCGTCGTCGTCGTCGTCTTCTTCTTCTTCGTCTTCCCCGTTGCGTCGTCTCATATTCTGACCGTCGACGGACGCGAGCGTGCACGCGTGAGCGAGCGAGGAGGCCGAGCTCGACCGCGGTGTCTCGACGTGGTACATTCACCCGGAGGAGCGCGCGACAAGGTGGAATTGACCTCTGGATTTAGCAGCAATTGTACAATAGCAACAATTTCCTGCCTGGCTTCTCCCCGTCGTCTCACCTCCGCGAGCGCCGCGTTCACCAGGGTCTTGACAACGGACTCGAGATAACGCAAACGCGCGCAAGAGTGTCTCAATTTTCGAACACGATGCCTTGAAATGATAATTCCCACGTGATCGTTTTGCGAGGTTTCTGAAGTACTTAAGTACACTTGATCGCCGCAGACTGTTTACCGCTCGTTATCGATGTAACTCGCAGGCTTGACACATGTGAGTTTATTACACGGGAAATTGAAACGTCAATTGCGTGGTGCAACAAGACAGAGAGGACAATGATCAATACTTTCACGGTCAATTATATGTATAATACTGTTAATATGTCAGAAAGAAGCCTTACACAAAGGATCTTAGCTCGTGTAGTTTCGCGTGATAGATAACGCCTCCAGCTCTTCGCACTTGGCTATGTTTATGCTCTTGACTTTTTGTAAACTGCAGTTGTGAGTGATGATATTTGCATAGTCATGCTCAACAGCAAAAAGAAGACATTAGTGCCGTGAGAGCAGGCAGGCTAATGTGATTATTAAAGATAGAATATTTAGATAATAATGTTGATATCGTCTGTTGAATAAATGTAATGAATGTATTGAAGATCTTAGAGCATTAACTCAGAAAGTTTCATTTACAATGTGCTTGTTACCTTCCTGTTTCTCACTTTTTATCACATTTTGTCATGTTTTTTTTTCTTATCATGTTGTTTCTTCATTTTCGTCGTCAAAGAAAAAAAGTTGACGAACTTCAAAAGATACAAGAAGCATGATTGTCAGTAAAACATGTTAAGTAAAACAAAAAAGGCAAAAAACGAAAGATAAGAAACAGGAAGCAAAAAGCATATTTTAGATTAGACCTAAAAAAAGGCAAAAAAACATATTTTAGATTAGACAGCATTGATAAACTCTTCTCTAGAATCCTCAAACTTAAAAATCTCAAGGCATTATTAAGTGCGATATTTAGATATAAAGACAATCCATATAATTTTTTTTGTATGTTAGTTAGGTAAATTGATAACATTGCTCCAATGAATAAAATCATATTGCTATGATAAGATAAGCAGAGAACACAACAGAACCATGCCGCGAATGATAAAGCTCTCTTCTTTTTCTTTTTTCAGAAGAGCAGAACGATTCATTAAAGAAAGGTGCACATCTTTACCTCCATCAGTGTAAGTGATTTCTTTCTGCAAGCTTTCTGCATGTGCTCTATCATCTGTAAAAAGGGTAGTTTTAACGATAGAGAAATTTGCCTATAGTTCGTACTTACGTTTCTAAGAACTCAAACTATGGTGTTTATTTTTCTCAATTTAGTGGTTTGCTTGTCGATAACTTGTGAGGATAGGTGCATATGAGTATCTGGTAATTTTCGTAATATCAAACGCGATATCACGGATCTTCAAGATCTTTTTGAAACAGCGATAGTGTAGTCTCTCAACGTAAACATCGAATTTAAATCAATATTTGACTGTATATGCGTGTGTAGATGTGAAATTGTTTTTTATACTCTCTCAATGAGAAATATGAACTGAGATTTTCATATATAGCGATACTTTTTACAAAACATATCAATCACGCTATTATACATAATTTGAAAAAAGTTCTGTAGGGATATGAGTTGTGCCTATTAAAAACAAAGTACAATACTTCTTTTTTTTATTTAATTGTTACTGCCATTGCTAAGAGTACAACTTTTGTCATATTAGGAATTTACAAACTTATTGGGCATAGGTATGTGCATCGCTATTATCTTTTTTTTTTTTTTCATGTGTACACAATCTTATAGAATTCGTTTATAATGTTGATATCTCAAAAAAAATTTCATGTAATATTCATTTGCATAATACCATTATTTAACGGATTAATGTGTCATTATCATCCATATGCAGAATGATGAATCATACATTTAAGGTGTGATAAACTTTGTATGTAAAATTGCTCGTACTTATTTATTGTATCATCTGATAGTCTAGGCTTTTGTTGTGATTTGGAGTATTCGGAAGTTTTCTATATTTCTGGGCAAAACCTAGAGCTTCATCAACAACACCAGCGATATTTCATTAGTCAAGAATGGCGATGCAGAAGGTAAATGCCAATAATGTTCACGACTGAATTAACAACTGTGCTCACTCATGATAACATGATATTTGATGTTAAAGCATATTATTAGAAGATTTCTATGTGTTTCACAATAAATCGTATCTATCAATCTTTGTAAAGATAATCTGATATTTTTTACAAAAAGTATTGTGTTATGTGTGTTATATATATAGGTATATATACATATATTTCAGATTATTTTTATTTTCCAATTTTTGTTATGATGCACCTTTATTAGTTTGCAATGTTTACTTAGCAGACAAACGTGATAATAATAGGTAGTAAAACTGATAATGACAAATGTACATTATGCAAGTCAGTATTGCATTAAATATTGTTGTATGAATATTTAGATTGAATACTTGATTTATATTAAAATTTAATACTACACTCCATATATCTATAAATAATACTTATCTCAAAGATAAGATAGGGAAAAAAAAAAGACGGACGATTAATCATAAATTTATATAGGCACATCTCAAAAAAAAAAAGAAATAAATTTCTATTTAATATATTAAAATATATACTTATAGGTATTCTTTATTCTTAGAACTTAATAACTTTTTATACTTATGTTTTATTCTTTAGTCTTAAAATTCATTGACTTTTCATATGTATAAGTACATAAGCATATTTTTACATATTTTTAATAATTAATAATAAGGATAAAGTAAAGAGCAAATCCGAGAGTGTCGTCGATAAATAGAATTAAGAAATTAATACATATGAAAAAAATTAGAAATATAATTAAAACATTCAAACTGCATACATAGCATGTTTCGACTCCTGGATTGAGCCTTCTTCAGATGTAAAAGATTCCATTGTATTGTAGTGATGGTAGAATTATAAATGTATTCGTGTGTTGCGATATCAGATGAGTGATATCTCTCTCTGAGAGAACAAATTCGCTGACACAGAAGATTGATAAATCAAAGAAGTTGGCAGAATCGATAATCCAGACAGCAATCATGATATGTTTCTCAAAATGTTCTATTTTTTTATGATGATGAAATGCACATTAGAATCAAATAGTAATCAGTCGTGGTGAGAGTTGATGAAGTGAAATATTAATCTAGTCGTATCGATGATGATCAAAAAACATGTTACGTATGCAATTTGAATGTTTTAATTATATTTCTAATTTTTTTCATATGTATTAATTTCTTAATTCTATTTATCGACGACTCTCGGATTTACTCTTTACTTTATCCCTATTATTGGTTTAACATATAGAGTTTTGTTTATTAGTATTTATTTTTAATCAGGTAAATTATGCTATAATACAAATCTTAAAATAAAATTATGGTAAATATAAATTGTATTTTATTTTCTTCGCTTAGTAGTATATATATAATTTTATTTACATGTATGCAATTGTTAATATTTTATTACGACATTTAAGAGAAGAATTTCTGATATAATAATTATAATAAAAACATATAGTGTATATATATATATATAATTGTTTTTATCAATTTTTATTTTAATATTGTATATAATAATAATCTTTTCCTGCAACTTATATTTTTTTCTATTATTTGCATGTACAAGTAATTTGATTAATGTGCATGCCTTGGTTTTAGTTCTGAAATTCTTGTTAATTAATTTACATTTTATTGAAATTTGATGCTGCATTACTAAATTTGTAATGTTTAAAGTAATGCATACTTATTGCATGGCTTTCATGTAAAAAAAAAAGTACTCATATTTATTATCAGATGCTACTTGCGTCATAATTGACCTGTTATTTTTATATTACAGTAATTATAGACTATGTACATTAAAGATTAAACGATCAAGGTTGAAGAATTTATAGGTCTTTGAAAGATTATGTATATATAAAAATCTTCATATAATACAATATAAATCCTATAAATAAAATTATTTATATCAACATATGATTGTTTTCTTTTATATTGGAATTAATACGATAATAAATATGGGTCTCCAAAATCAAGATACATAATACTACAATTGAGTAACATATAGCAATGATATTTTTTTAGATGAGAAGGCAAGGGCAAGACGTTATGCAGGTGAATCTAGCAGGTATTAGGCGAGATATTATGAATCTTGCCCACAATTACAGCAATGCTCAGGTGATTAGTTAAATCTTTTTGTACCGCTTGGTGTTATTTTTTGCCATTAATATATAAAAATAATAAAAAGTAGTAAATCTAAAATATTGTATTAGATGTAGAGAAAAATGAATAAAAAATTAAATATGTAAGAATTTTGAATATTAATATTAAATAATTGCTATCTTTTTATAGAAAGCTGTACGAAAAGCTACTAGCAATGACCCTTGGGGTCCAAGTAGTACACTTATGGCAGAAATTGCCGACTTGACATACAATGTTGTAGCATTTACGGAAATTATGCAAATGTTATGGAAAAGATTGAATGATCATGGGAAAAATTGGCGACATGTATACAAAGCCTTAGTTCTCTTAGAATATCTTATCAAAACAGGAAGTGAAAAAGTAGCGCAACAGTGCAAAGAGAATATTTTTGCCATCCAAACCTTAAAAGGTAACAAAAGTAAAATTTTATTAGAATGTTATTTTATATGTATAATATATAAGATCAAATATTCATCTATGAGATACATTATTGACTTTATTTAATATTAATGTACTATTGAAAAATTCGGACTCTATATATTAATAAAATTCAGAAGTGTATTGTAATTAAAAGAGATTTCCATAAATTTTTTAACACAGTCCTGTTATATTTTGCATAGATTTTCAATACATGGATGGGCATAAAGATCAAGGAATTAATGTACGGGAAAAAGCAAAACAATTAGTGGCCTTATTAAAAGATGACGAGAGATTGAGAAATGAGCGAGCTAGAGCATTGAAGGCAAAAGAGAGATTTGCACAATCGGTTAGTGGTTTTGGAAGTGACGGTCTGGATACTATGTCACCTGTTAGCAGTGATGTAAGTACTTAGCATGTTCTAAATCATTGATTAAAGACTGCGCTTGTGTTCGGTGCTCAAGCGCTGTAAGTTTCATTCTATCTTCCTTCTGCAAGTAATTAATGATAAAGATAGAATAACTTACTGCGTGTGAGCGTCAAAACCGAACGCAGCCTGTAACATTGCTCAGTTGACTTCCACTTGCTATTGCAAAAACTAAATTTATTATCATGCTTCAGTTTCAAGATTGGGAACCTTGTCATTTATCTGAATCATCGGCTAGACGTGCAAGTAAGTTACTCTTTACAATGTAAGCGTTAACATTTTAGTTTCTTTTGGTCAAGATCTTTTAAGTCAAGATTACTTCAACTAGAACGAGACAATTCTTACACGTTTGTAAATTCTCTTATCATATCTCGTTTATTTTTCACGTGTATATCAGATGCAAACATTAATTACTTTACATAAGAATTAACACAATAAATATATTTTCCAGCGGAATTGGAAGCCGCAAGACCGCAAACGGTAGGAGAAGAAGAATTACAACTACAACTGGCCTTGGCTATGTCTAGAGAAGAAGCAGAACAAGAAGAACAAAGAAGACGCAGCGATGACGTCAGATTGCAGTTAGCCCTCAGTCAAAGTCAACAGGATTTTAAGTAAGTAATCAACGGAATCCAATGTAATCTAGTAGTAACATGATATGGAAGAAAAAGCATCTGACCTTGCATTTACGCGACAATGCCATGTGTATGAATTTCAGAGCTCCGCAATCTGAAAAACAAAGTCATATGTTGGATTTACTCGATGTAAATTTAGGAGAAGCAAGCGGTTCTTCAGTACAAACTGATCCTTGGGGTATCCCGATAACAGCACCACCGCCTAGACCACAGGTACTTGCTAATTGACTTCACACTTCACACTTTGCATAATAACACGAAATTGTATCGTTTTTGCATGATGCACAGTCCTTGGATTTATCTGATTTTCATGTATATAAGGTATGTCTGATAAATATTAGAGAACATTAAATGTATCTTTAGAGGACTCTCTTCTGTACAGACGTGAAATAACGTTTTGCTGGAGTGATTAACAAAATGGTGGATGAATAATAGTATTCTCGTTTTACAGCCACAGAACGATCCGTGGAGTGTTCCAACAGCAAGTACCACGTCACCCGCGATAGACCCGTGGACGCCTGTTCCTCCACAAAGACCAAGTGAGTTTTATTACACATATATATGTATGTATATGCAGTAACGTACTTTTTACATGTGATTGCATATTTATTTAATCTCTACATTTATATATTCTTTTTGCATGTTCTTACGTCTTTGATGATTTCCGATAATTCTCAGGATCCTCAGGTATAATTAGTTAATTTTTCCACCATTTTCTTATCAATTATTAAAGCACTATATTTGGATCCTTATCGAGACTGTTTAGTTTTTGTTTTTATTGTAATATTTAATGACAGCAATGTTCTAAGATTTCCTAAGCTTTTATTGCAATATTTGATAATCATTTGTTAGAATTACTCAAATTACAATTTAATTATAGCTGCCACTATTGATCCATGGCGTGCACCTGCTCCATCTCCTGCTACAGTCGCATCTCCACCTCGTACCAACGACCCTTGGTCACCAGTTCCGTCTACTACCACTACCGAATCGGAGACGAATAAACAGGTAATAAACAGATTAATCCTGCAAAATTCATCGAATTATACAATATTTATAATAATATATTCGATCTAAAATTTTCTTGATACAGGGAGCTCAAGATGCCGTAACATCTTCATCACCATCTTTCAACAATTCAAACTTGACACATAACATCGGCTTCGCGATATCGTCGTCTCAAAATATAGGTTTCAATTTGCCACCAGTATCTTCAGCCGCTACTACCTTCAACACTAGCAATGGTTTCAACGGAACCGGGCCAGGTTTCAATAATTTTTCTACTCAAAACAACGGCGCTGCAACGAGTCCCCTCAGCGATTTAGATGAATTTGACGTAATTACTAACAGAGGAAAACTTGGAGCGAGTCCGCAGACGGTGAACAACGGTACTTAAGTTACACAAAATTTTTCTGTAAAATACAGTATAAATATCTGCTGAAATTATGTAATAAAGTTATACGATTTTAAAATAGGTGGTACGGCATCATCAGGAGGAGATCCTTTCGATTTGGGTGGCATGGCTGAAACTCTTCCTGCCAGTACCGGTGCTGTGAAAAAAACACCACAATCCTTTTTAGGAGAGAACTCTGCGCTTGTTAATTTAGATAATCTTGTCAGCGCTACGGCAATTAAGCCATCAGCTCCTGCGCCAGCGGGTAAGTTTTCATTTGTAGCTAAATAGTATAAACTATAAATCGAGAAAGAGAAGTCCAGTATTCGAAATATCTTTCATTGAGATATATTACTTGAATATATATATATACATATTCTATTATATGATAATCTATAAAGTGTAATTCAGGAAAATTATTCAAATATATTTTGCGCTATAACATTCTATGTCTACAAAATAGCGTTTCATTGGAAATAAGTTCGTGAGTATCAATAATATGATTAAAAATATGGCATGAATGCATGGTGACTATTATGTGCAGTGTAATTATGCTTATTACAATGATGTCTTTCATATGTTATGTCAAGAGTATTGTTATTTTTTTATTTAAGAGTACTGTGATTTGGATCTTTCTTCGAATATATATCTTGTAATATTTTGATAGAATACATAGATTTCCTTGTCTTTTCTAAATATGACATTATTTTTTAATATTCTTAGTTTTATTTCTTTTCTCTTGTAATATGCATTTGTTTATGTGGAATGAATCAACAAATATCAAATTATATATCAGGCAATTTAAAGAATTGAAAGTCCAAATCAATATCTTGAAAGAACAATCAATCTTATCAAATAAAAATAGAAAATAAGTAATGTATTTTATATCTAAAATTCCCTCTTTCTAGATCATAAAGTAACATATTTTTTATATTTTTCAATCTTATCAAATAAGAATAGAAAATAAGTAATGTATATTATATATAAAATTGCCTCTTTCTATTTCCAGATCATAAAGTAACATGTTTTTTATATTTTTATTCAAGATATTGATTTATCTTGGACATTCTATATTCAAAAACGTTTAAAGCTATCTTCGTCTAAACAACAACAAAAGTTATTTTATACTAACAAACGAACGATTTTACAGCAACCATGTCATATTCAGCAAATCCATTTGCAACTGTGACGCCACCACCCCGTCCTTCAATCAATCAGATTCGACAGGATCCATGGACAGCGAATACAACTACGGCTAATCCGTTCCTCTCGTAGCCTGATCGATCAATCGAAAACTTTGTAATTACTGCGTTCCTCGAAACGTGATTCGCAGTTTTACATGTACTATTACGGTATAGATTTCGGTTAACGGTCGAAAGAGATATGATTTTACTTATAGCAATTATGGGCAGGGACAGATGTGAATAAGACCAATAAGAAGACGGAGAAAACATCCCCATCAATGAAATTTTATTAATAGTTTGAAAAACACATTACTTTTCGACAAACTGTATATTGCACACTTATGCTCATTGTAAAGTCTCTTTTTTTTTATAATTTCCCTTTACATGTATTACTCGCTTCTTGAAGTTTATTGTGGAATAATCACCTAAATAATTAATTAGTAGAAGTGTGGCATATTTGTAATTAAGTGATGGTTGGATGGTTAAAGGTACAACATAATAATACAAATCATGTTTTAACTTTAAATGCTTAAGTAATCCCAAGATACGACTAGATTTTATATACACTTCTTTCTCTCTATATGATCTATTTTCTATGTATAAATCAATTCAGGGAAAGATTATTCAGCAATATCGCTTCACTGCTGGGGAAGAATGTGAAGTTACTGCTAGGAAAGAATGTAAAGCTGACAATTTGAGATCAGTTTATGCGTTTTTGTATACACGCGTTTTCTATAGTAAAAAAAAAAAGGGAAAAATGAGATCGTGAGACTGTAATCATGATTTGCAAAAGCATTATAAGGTCTGTTTTTTATAACTGGACTAGTTGTGTACATTTTTGGAACTCAAAGTGATAGGTATATGTTTGATATTTGGCTAAAGTGAGAAAAAAGTTCTAGTGCAGGAATAAAAAAAAACAGATCTATTATAACGAACAGAGTTTTGTTCGCCGTTATACGCTTAAGATGTGTCGATTATGGTCTGTAAAAAAAATTCGATGTTGTGGCTTGCTTTCTAATACAGAATCCGTAATACGGGCAGCTACTGTGTTGCAAAGTGTACACGAATTTCTTATATAGCTGTATAGCCAGTCATTCACGAATGACGTACTGCGACCTATGGCACACCAAGGCACTTCTAAATGAAAATGCAACTGTGAAAGTAGCATCCACTAAACGAATACTGAGGAAATAATCTGTATTGTTTTTGCTATTCGGATTTCTGGTTTTAATTAACTATGTGCATATTATGCAAATTTGGTATAGCTGAAGAATCAAACTCAAGAGTGATAAGAATTGTCTCTATCGCATTCGAAAATCATCGATATTTAATTCAAAATAACAGTGTTATTTTTAATCTATTTTTAATTTAACATTTGCGTTGACGTCCAAAGTTATGTAAGAGCTCGATCGCTCGTAGGATAAATTTATAACGAGTCTACAAGAGAGGTTTTTTGCCTACCTATGTTTTTTAAATTCGCATGACAAAAACATGAACCAAGATTTTTTTAAATATACAAGACAAATACAGGCGTATCTTTTTATTTATAAGGAATGTACATACATCAAAGCATATTGTTCCCCATTTGTCAAGCGTTCACAGTGTTATTTTATAGGAAATTTTTAGTGGACATTTGAAAACTGCTGTACTCGTCAATTTCGTATTTGTAAAAAAATTTTGCTGAGTTATTTTTTCATTCTTTTGTTAAATTTGTTATATATATATATTCTTACTTATTATCATTTATACCGCTCTGATATTACATATTGATATTATTTATTTCACAATAAATGTCCGTTTATAAACAATGTTGATAGATTATAAGAAAAATGTTTTCAAACAAATTGAAATCTTGTACAACTCAAAATTTTTTTTTAATAACGCATTTTTACAATTGTACACAGAGATCTTTATCAATGTACAATATTGACAAGGGGGAACTATTTGCTTATCTCTCATTCAAGTATATCAGAGGTAACACGATTCAAGCTGCTTTAAGTAAACATCATGTAATTCCAATGTATTATTTATCGTTAAATCTATAATTTCTGTTGGCTTTATATGCAATTTTAATATACTTGCTTATATGAGTGAAATTGTATATTTAATATGTATTTATCCAGATGTTCGCCAGGATATGAAGTTAAAATATATGATACGTATAATAACATGTAGAGATTTAATTATACAATCATTGTCCAATTTAAAAATATAAACGATTATACAAGCCATTGTGCCTGTTGAATATAGGATGATGTACCACACCATCCTGTATATTCTGATTTTGTTTATGTAGATCTGTATCTTTTTTCTACCTATTTTATTTAAGTAATTAATGTATAAATCATGATATATACATAGCTTCATCCCTGTGCGAACAGTGGAATTTTTTGTTTAGCTTTTAGAGCTCATGTAATTGCAGGAAAAAGAATTTAAAGAACATTTATATAAATAAATATTATATATTTTAGTAGATTATAATGATATACTTATTAATAATTATATAAATAAATTATAAAAATTTTTAAGTTTTTTCAAATTAAATATTTTAAATTCCTTTGGTACTTTTCTCCAGATTCGTATATACAGATTTGATTACATTAGCTGAAATCCATATATTTAATTAAATTGTTCTATATAATAATAGAGAAAGAACACTGCAATATTTTCATTAATACTTCAAATAAAAGGATTTTTTTTTATGTAAACATTCCTATCAAGATATTACAAAACAGATTTTAGTGACCAGTTTAGCAAAATATTTAAAAAAAATGTGTGTATATATATATATATATAATGAACAAATTTATATACAACATTCATTATCTTTTTTTATAAAGATGCATAGGATAATTTTTTCTTCACTTTTTCTATAGAAATTATCCTTATTTTATTAATTTAACAGTCTTTAGATAAAAATGATATACATATGGATTTTTTAGATGAGAGACCTCGTTTTAATCTAAAGAGATGCTTCAGTCGAAGAGTTTATTGTAACTGGTGGAAGGAAGTATGAACGGACCTGACTATGTAGCTGTGCTATTTCAGCATCCTCTCTTTCTAAAGCCCGAATGAGCTGTGCGAATTGTACAGTACCTGCTTTGTGTACACATAATTAATTCTTTAACTTTACTTTTATCATATTTACTTTTATTGTACTCATAATCTACGTACCTTCTCTTCCTTCTGGAAATCCGTAATTTTTTATGACATTCATTTGAATCTGTGTTACTAGTGGGAACACAAATTGCATCATTTTCAACATTTCATTGCCGGAACTTTCCTTCGCTTCTGTGAGCTTTTGCAAGTTCTCGGGTGTATTTAATGCTGTCAAAACATCTGTCAATATGGCTGAAAGAAGAAAAATATTTATTCATATGTTTACCATTATATTTCATATAATCATGTTTAATATACAAATATTTATTTACATTTAAGTTACCGATAAACTCATATAATAAATGCGTTGAATTGTAATAACATACAATTTTCTATAAAAAGATTTTAGATTTCTAATTACCTTTCGCAGTTTCCAATGTAAAACCAGGAACGTTTGCCATAATTAATGTACCAGAATATAACCGAGGATCGTTTTTCCTCGGTTTTTCTATCACTACAGTTGAACCGCTAATTACGTGTAGTAAACTAAAATCTTGCAGATCACTATTTAATGTTGTAGCTAAATCGACAAATATTTTATATATAAAATTTTTCACATATAATATTCAGCAGCAAAAATAAACTGTTCCTTTTTCAGATTATTATATGTAATTTATTATACGAGATTTCATTCACTAACAGTTAATAATTATTTCTTTCACGAGACTACTGATAAAACTGCAGTACTTTGATTTATTTATATTTATTTCTAAATGACAGCCAATCCGTAGATCGCATGCATCAAATCACATTTGACATTTTCGAGAGCGTCAGATGGCAAGAGAACGCGCCATCTTGTCAAACCTTGTCGAGAGTAAAATTTAGGTCTGTTCTTTTTAGCCGAATTTCTTGCACCGTTTTCTTTTTCTTTTTATATTGAAAAAAGAGAAAAGATAAACGATAAACTAAAAAGAACAGGCTTTAGTAAGCTTTGCACTTTATATCTTCTCTTTTCTTCTTTCTATTATACTATCTCATTTTAAGTGCAGAAAGCACAGTACAAAGTGCAAGTAGTGCAACTTGCAAAGTGTAACATAAAAGAAAAAAATTTCATTTTGCGGTTATTCGACGATACTGAAATATTTTCAAAGATAAACAAACAGATGATAATTTTTCGCACAGATTTAGAGAATCTAGAGAATTTCAGAGAAAGAATTTTGAAAGAAGATTTAACTAGAATTTGATCAAGTATATGTATCAACTACTTTATTATTTTCAACATATAATGATTCTCGGAGTATAGGTTAATATAAACATCTTTAGAAATTTGGACTGATAGCAGAAACGCGAGTGCGTTCGAGATAATTGAATTTTCTCGAGCGAATAATTAGCCCCTTTTATAATAAATATCTGTAGAACTTGGTAGAGAGATCTTTGCAATCATGGGATCCAATCACGATCAAACATTTTTACACATACTTCGTGAAGAAAAAAATATCAGTAACTTTTTGGACTCCTTTTTTGGATTTTTATATAGATGGTAAGTATCAGAAGTATTGGTGCTTTAAATAAAATTTTGTTTTACATAAATTTCATAATATCAGCACAGACTTTTATGTCGAATCAAACTCGGAGCAAAAATTGGGCTTCCCACCAGGAATAACAGAGAAACTTGTATTAAGTACCATGTACAAGTGGAAGAGCACTACAAATTTACAAAAGACAACATTGCCTGTAATTGATAATACAAACAGCAGCAGTACATCAAACCAATTAATTTCAACACATAATGAGAATTGTAGACTTATGCCATCAGTGGCACAGGAAATTGAAATTGATTCATGCAATAAATTCAATAATATTAAACCATCCTCCATAGAATCTAAGATAGATCATATATCAGACAGTTACAATGGAGCTATAAGAGAAAATTATACCTGGACCCAGACTCTCAATGATTTGGATGTAATTATAAAAATACCAAAACATATAAAAGCATCTAAAGATACAGTCAAAGTTGACATAAGTTCAAATGAAATCAAAATTGATGGAAAGTCTTCTGTTTCATCAGTAAATTCTGAGTGGGAGAACATTTTCAATGGCAAACTGAGTTTTAAAATTCGAAAAGATGAATCTATATGGAGTATTGAAACTGGGAAACAAATTAGTGTGCGTTAATATAAAACACGTTCAATTTAAATCTTCAAAATTGGTATCTATATATTCTATTTGTATTTATAGATTCATCTTGAAAAAGCTATGGAAAGATGGTGGGAAGCCTTAATTATTGATGAACCAAAGATTGACTTAAACAAGATTGACTGTTCGAAACATTTTGACGATATGGCGCCAGAGGAACAGATGAAAGTGCAGGAATTAATGTGGAATCAGCAACAGAAAATCTTAGGCAAACCGACATCTGAACAAATTGTAATTATCCATATCTGATTAATATGTAAAAAATGTAGAATATTTATTATAATTTATAAATAATGTATTTATAGAAGATGGAGGCCACCCTGAAACAGGCATGGAATGCGAGAGGATCGCCTTTCCTGGGTACACCTTATGATCCTTCTATTTTAAAGTACAATTAACATATTTTAATATATTTTTTAAAATTACAATATTTATATATATCTCAGATATAAAAAATCAGATTATGCTTATATTACATAATATTTATATCAAAATATTTATAGTGTAATTATTTTATATATATATATATGTATATATGTATAATATACACAGCAATTTTATTGCTTAGAAAGTTTCTATTTTAATATTCTGAACATTTTGTCTTATATATTAAATATATTATATATATTTAATATTAAAAGAATTACGAAAAATAACAAAATATTTTTAAATAAAATAATGCAAATAGATGTTGCAGTTTAAAAGAGCAATCCCAAATAAATAAATTATTTTTTAGTAATGTCAATCTGTTGATAATGATAATATATATTTTATATTAAAAAAATAGCGAAAAGGCTTCCCTTTTTAGAAATAAATAGCGTTTACGAAAGCAAAGAGCTGACGATCTGGATCTCGGCGATACCCTGTAAAATCACGAACGATCCGAGAGTTCACAGAATGCGCGGAATCCTACGCTTTTCCCTGGTGTTTATGCTGACTTTATATCACAATAGTGGTGGGATCGTTCGCCACAGAGACGAGGCAGGAGCGGTTCGCACAGGTACACAGCCTCGAAGAAACTGTTCTCATTTCGTTGAACGCGCTCGCAACTTTCCTAAGCTTTTACTTCGACCGATTCTAAACAGAGTTAGATATATAGCGACGACCTGATAATCGGCATGTAAAGATACATCTTTTATATTGACGAGATGACGTTATGTTACTCCAATAGCTGTTATCGAGAAACTGCGTCCTCTTCCTTTCTCGTAGGAATACAAAATATTTTATAGAAAGTGTTAAGAAAATTCAAATGAAGCTAACGATTTGATCAAATCTTTAACGGCAGAATATGCTAATGAGACTCGAGACGGATATAATGTTGGAGAATTCGATCTCCTATTTTGCAGAAATCTACTTCGTATCAAACGTTTTACGCAAAGGAAAACGTCACCTCGTCGAAATGGAAACGTTGCAATTGTGTTCGTTTTAAACGCGCTAGGTGTACCGCCGTGGCAATGTTGATAGTATACACCGCCGCGATAATATCCTCAGGAATTCCTGCGATAAGACTCGACAATTCTTCCCTCCCACGTCATCATCAGCGCCAGGTGCAACGGCGACAGGTCGAGCGCGTTGAGCACCGCTGCAGGTAAAACACAGGTAATATACCTGCCCGAGGCTACGAGTCCATCCCCACCTGGGGTCCGGTTCTCTCTCCTTGCTCTCTCGGCCGGCTCTCCGGCTGGCTTTCCTTCGAGGTGAGTCGAGAGTCAAGCCGTTAGTATCGTTGCCGTTGTGATTGGAATGGTGGTGTGATGTGCATCGCGGTGGAGTGCGCATCCTGAAGGACAGCGAAGTACGTGGATATTACGCACGTTGAATCTCTTCCTCCCCTGACTCCCCGCTGCCGAACCCCCTTTTTCGTCCCCTGGTGCTCCCGCGAGATCGAGAGAGCCGCGCGTGCCCGCGATTTCTTCAAAATCCGCCGTGGTCCAGCTCTCCTCTTCGCGGTGCGCTTCGCGTGGCAGCTTCTTCTTCGCGCTGATGCCCACGTACAGTCGGTAGCAATAACCACCACGTAATCGCGGTGAGTGTGAGGTGAAGCTAACGGAAGAGACGGGAGAAAAAGAGAGACCGAGAGTATATTCGACGAAGAAGAGAGAAAAGAGAAGACGAGAAGAGATATCGGAGATAAAATACCAAGATGCCGTGCTCCGCAGTGACGCTGTCTCTTGCCACCATAACCGGTATAATCGCCACAGCCCTGCTGGCGATCGCCTTCTCCACGGACAACTGGCTCTACACCGAGGTCAAGCGCGCTCAGATCCAGGTTTGTATCTGGTTTTGATGTTGACAGGAACATCCGTCGATCCTACCTGCTCAGATCGCTCTTCAAAATGAAAAAGATACGAAAGAAGAGTATTTCTTAAAATAAACCTCTCGCAAAAGTGAAAAAACGCAGTAACATGGATCACTTTGCTTCCTTTTTCCTTCCATTAAAAAAATATTTAGAAGAGAGAGAGAGAGGAGAGAAAAACATCGATGAAATCAAATACCATAATATATATCGTTTGATTTCATTGACGTCCCTTTCTCTTTTCCAAATACTCTTTTCTAAAAATGGAAGGAAAAGGAAAAGAAGCGATTTATGTTGTTGCGTTATTTTACTTTTGAGAGATTCGGTTTGCTTTCTAATTTTTGGAGTTGGAATAATAAAATAAAAAAAGTTAAATTAAAATTAAAGTTAATTAAATGCAAAATTAATTAAGCACTGATTTTTAACTATAAAGGACCTTAAAATAAATGCAACATTTAATGAACTGTTACTCTTTAGATATGTTCGAAAATGAATATCTGAGTAAAAAAGGATGCGAGCTCGTCGTAACAACATATACTTCGATAAAAAGGCAATCAACTTAATATGCATTTTATTACTAACTTATGAATACATATAAAATAAAATAAATATAAGTGACAAGGCTCAATAAAATTAAATAATGATACAGAAAAGCTACGAGCTTAATAAATTCGTTTAATTTAACGACAATGTTAAACGAATTTATTAAGCTGGTAGCACTTTTTCTGTATCATTATATATAAAATACATTTCTACTGATACTCTTTTATTTCAAACAAATTCTTTTACTTCTCTTTGTTTTTCTCAAGAAGCACTCGCTGCTTGCTTTTATTTGTACGGTCACGTAGTTCTGCATTCCAAAGGAACGCATCGAGCGATTTGAAACGTTACCGTAACCAATTTTTTTAAAGCAATACAAATCAACCCGTACCATTTCACATTAGGATTTTAAATAAAATTCATTCTTTTCAATTATATATGTCTTTCCCTGCATTTAAAAGTAGATATAGATATTTAAGAGAAGAAAGAAAAAAAATGTTATCTCAAGATAATTCACAGAAAAAATTGTGAAGATGTGACATCCTATTGAATTCTCGGGCCGAGAGGAGATTTCGACAACGAGCAGATAAAACACGTGACTTTACCACGAAGCGTTCTGTACGTACGCGCGCTTTGAAGAATCTCTTATGAGAACGCATCACAATGGAAATTGTTCGTTTGCAAGGACTCGCGTTACATTAATGTATGCAATCTGAGGCATTGAAAAAAAAATTAAAGTGGTTTGCGAAAGCGTGGGATTTGATGATGCATTTTCGCGACGTTGCGCTGCGTTATAAACGTCGCTCGTTGTTGAAGCTAATTCAATTTGGCAGCGGATGCTCTCCTCTCCATTCTGTGCTTTCCTCTCGGTACAGAATCCTTATGCAAATTCTAATGAAACTACCGCACACGCGGACAGCCCCCCAGTACGGAACGAGCGCTTCGATCATTTATGAAAATGGACATCTTCCTGCCCGAAGTTAGATCGCATCCGAATCTCGTTATTTCTGGCGGCCGATGCTGTCATCAGCCACCCGTAAACGTGAATCTAATTTCTTCTACTTCTTCTGCATCTTTAAGGATGTGGATACACTACAAAAAAAAAAATGCTGCGGGACAGCTGTGGTCCTTAAGCTTTCGCCAGTTCTATCCTTTATTTTCAATGATAACGACAATTTGGTAGTTTTTGCGTTTGCATAATGTGACACGTAATTGTGTCGCCATAATGGGTACAATTTCCGACGTCGTTATAATCCCATTTCTGACCACACAACAGATATTTACTGATCTATAACGAGTCAATTATAGTAATTTCTATAATTATATATTATCGTTACTATTAAACCGTACTTTTGAGTAACCATAATCCATTTAAACGATGAACTATATTTAAAATAAATATATCAAAATATACAATTCTTGAAAGTCATTTAAGGATTGAGCTGTTAGTTAAATTAATTCAATATTTCGTATTAAAAGGTTTACATAGCTCCGTTCATTTTGACAACTGTGCTTCTAAGAATCAGAAGAAAAAGATTATTCCACGAAAATGTTCACGATTGCCTAATGGGAAAAGTATAATTAAACAAGTTAATGTTAGAAAGCAAATAGATGTACGCACTCAATGGAAGAAAAAAGCAAGTTATTATCTCAGGATAATTTATAGAAACAAAGAGTTGCGAAGATATGCAGCGATATTATCGAATTCTCGCACATACAGGAATTTCGACAACGAGATAAAAACACGCGACTTCTGTCTGTAACTTCTTCGCTTTTTCGAAACGTAATTAGTAATTCATAACGTAAAAGAAGGAATGTATAAAAAACTATTCCGTAAAACGATTTTGTTAATTGAAATATACTGCAATCGAATAATTGGAAACAGAGCCACTACAAATAACTATTAATTAGCGAAGCCAGCGGAAAGTAGTATTAATTAACGGAAAGGTTGCGTAATCTCTATTAAAGATTCCGAGAGAAATGTGCTTCTTCCTCAAGAAGGGGAAAATAGGAAGTATAGAATTCCCCATGACTTCCGCCGTCCTTCTTACAGGTGAATGTACGGGTCGAAGGTCAAGTTTACCCTCTAGGGTCGTTGAAAGTCGAACGTTGTTCTCACGAGTTCCTCGCCGTGGAACCGTGGATGTCAGCGGTAATTAAAAAATTCTAGCTAAAAAGAATATTAGCGAGAGATACTCAAAAGGCTTTAATTAATTCTTTCAACAAGAAACTTCACTTAACTTGAACATGGCAGACCTTGAATATTAAATTATTAAAGTAAACCATTAAAAGATTTACGTTATCTAAGCAAAATTGACCCATTGTCCTTTTTGTAACAAAAATATCGAGTCGATCAAACTTTAAATACTTAATGCAATTGATCGTGACATTACTTATAATTAAAAAAGCTGTTAAAATAATTGCAGTTATAATTTATGTAATTAAATTTATATCTATTCAAGTAAAGTGATCACACCTCTTTTTCGCACGTTTAAGTAGTTTTCTTTTCAAGTAATAAGTTTTTTGAACCGATAAATTTGAGGGTTTTAAATGTTTTGACAGCGTCAACAATTTTTAGTTCTACCTTGAGAAACTTTATTTTAATAGGATATCTCGCGTGATAAATCGATCCGTTGGCGTCGCGAGTTACGCGATTACGCCACGGCTCGACGCAAAACGCAGCACGCGAAATATTCCAATGTTGATGTAACTTCCTGCGCAACGTAAAAATCATATCCACGGACGTGCATAAGAATAGGAATTATTAAATAACAGGCGCACGCGGATGTTTCACGCGTCATCCAGCATGTAGGTGCCGCTACATCCATTCAGTGTACGATTATTATTGTACAACAAATTCGTCAGACTTTTGCATCGCGATTAATGATTTTCAACTCGCAGAAAAGGACTCGGCATAATAATTTTTATTCCTTGCGAGGAAACTCATCACTTATGCGTCTCTTGTCTTCGACGTTAGTACCAAGGTCGTTCTAAGCGCAGCTGAAGCGCTCGTCGCCGATTAAATTAGATTATCTCGTTAGCGGAATCTCATTTCGCGAGTATTCCGTTCCTGTCTGCGCTTTTCTCTTTCTCTCGACCCAGCTGCGAAGACGACTCGCCTCTCCTCTCCTCTCCTCTCTTCTTTCGTTCCTGTCTCGATCTCCCAACATCTCGTCCCGTGCCTTCGGAACGATCGACATTCCGAGCCGCGCCCATTCTCAGCGCGTTGACTCAACGAGTTTTGTTTGGTGCACCGATCACACGCGTATATGTCCTTTTGCGCGAGAATCGCGCGATTCACGCGAGCTCCTCCGAGAGAGCAAATCCGCGAAAATAAACAGTCGCGCGCGATTCAAGATCCGCTCATATCTCATTTTCATAAAAAGTGACTCACTCCATTTTTTATCTCAAACGATATTGCATCTCAGATTCGAAAGTTATACGCCGTATTTTTTTCGTTTTATATGAACTTTTACGACATTCTACCGAAATCTCATATAGACTTTTGAGATTTAAGGATCCTGCTCAGCTTCTCTTTGCTATCAGCAATTCTATTATCCGATTCTACTTCCTATCTATCCCAGTCGAATTTCTTCATTTAAAATTTACGCATTGCTTCCGCGTGGATCAATCGTTCCGTACGATTAGAGATTGGCCGATAGATCGCCCACTAATCCACTTCTCGACGGAGATGGATGCGCGGTACACGAGAGATTCTCGCGAGGCAGCGCAACGCAATGTAAACGCAATATGCAACGCGACGCAGCGTGACGCTCTGTTATTCTGTTTCGCGCGTCAGGAAACCGCGCGATTCCCGTATATACCTGGACGACCGGCTGGTTCGCTACCTCGCCTCCTCGCTCGAGTGACGAGAAGGTGTCAGGAGAACCGCCGCGTACAGTTATGTCGCCCGCGCCAGCGCATCCTCTGAGAGTAGGCGCAAGCGAACGCATGTTCGAATGCCTCCGCTACCGAGTGGCACACGCACGCGAGGTGATAATTCCACAGTCCCTGCGTATACGCGATGCGACCTCGACAACACGCGAAGTAGCCGTCGATTAACGGGAAAATCACGCGCGTAAATTCCCAGCATTAACGAAACTCTGTCAATTAGCCTCGGCGATCTAAGCTAAGGGAACGCATACGATTTTCTGAAGGACGATCTTGATGAAATAGATGAGTTATAATCGCCTTAACGGTTTCGCACATCCTGTACTGCGCGTTGAACTGCGCAACGAAAGATAGAATGCGGTTTAACGCTGAAACTTCGAGGCATTTGATTGACCCAATCGAAGGAGAGAATTTTACTAATTAAAACCAATTGAAAAATATACTTCGAAGTACTTGCAGTATCAAGTGGACCGTGGTTATAAATTCTTATTCAGATATATATTATATATATAATATTATGAAGAAAGTGAATGATTACTTCC